AAACGATGAGAAGAAATGTCTCAAACCCCAACAGCCGATAAACCCAAACCTGAGTGACAGAACTAGCCTAGTGCCCGAAATCCCACAAGAAACCGACACGACACCAGACAGGACAGAGACTCCCTCAGAGCGAAATAGCATCCTGTGTCGCAGGTTCATACGAACATTTAAATGACCAAAATGACGAGGTTCACAGCAGCAGAAACAGAGAGACGAGACACTATATACCAATGCAACACAGTGACTAAACTCACTTTTAAGGGCAATTTTGTTACAGAGACTTAGTAATCAATTTTATTTAATGTTTTGATTGTATTTGGTTCATCAATGGTTTATTCAAGTGCATTTTTGGTAACAAGTCCTCACTGTGAGACAGACTACATTAGGCTATTCTTATGTGAACAAGTCTGTTTTATTTAGGCCTATTATTTCTGTTTGTCTTTCAGTTCCTGTGTTAAATGTTCTTTAGAAAGTAAGGTTTATTGAGCTTTGAAAGCGTGTGCTGGCATTTTTATTCCATGGTCATTATAATCGTTGAAATTGGTCTCAAAATGTCAATATTATCGTTTATCGCAATAAATTCTTGGTCAATTAATCGTCCAGCAAAATCTGTTATCGTTACAGGCCTACCTCTGACCCTTTTTTTGGTCACATGATACAAAGGCAAAGTACAGGAAGTGACAAATAAGGGCCAAAAGTCAATTTTGAGCTCAATATTTTTCACATACAAATATTTCTTCTTTAACTAGTTGTCAAATTTTGGGAGCCCTGCCTATTCTACTTTTGTCTGGACAAAACAGAAACTTGGAAGTCATTTTTCTCAGCTTGACACTCTGGAGAGTTAAGGTCTTTTGCCTTTGTAGAGCAGTATATTTCTGTAATACAAGAATTTGATGATTATTACCAATGCTAATCCTGTATCCTAGCCTAGCTTATTTCATTTATTCACCAAATCAACCAAAACGACGCTCTGGTTTCCTTCTAATTACTACAACGTTTTGAATACATTGACACAACCATTCACCGTCCTAATTACCCCCAATTTATACAAAAATTTCTTAATCAAATCCTTTTTCTTGATAAATAAAATATGACCTTTTCATCCTAAACAGCTCCGTATGTTTTTGGGGGGTACAAAGATGTCCGCCCGCTTCGGTTTGTCTTTGTTCATCTCGTTTAAGCGCGAAATCGATCTGGCATTTCTCAGAATCTCGATCTCATTTAGCCTTCTTCTATGTAAAGCCTTTTGAGAGGCGAGCGGAGATACCGGGGCATATTCTGCGTTTGGGCTCACGCGGCTAACGGAGGATTAGCTCGGGACCATATTTTGGCAACAGCGGTGAATTTTAATCCGCGGCCGCTCGTCTTTGCCAAAAAAAACGCAGCGTCTTTGTGGATTTTAGCCCCAAGAAATCCCCCCAAATGCTGCTTATACGCTTTTGTTTTGAAATGTCCTGACGTTTAATGGAAACTGGTATTTTAGTCATGTATTTAGCGAAAAATTAGGAATGTTTTTTGCATGTACTGAAAAAAAAAGACTTCTGGTGGTAGTAAAATATATTAAACTCTGGTAATTTTTACACTGAAATAACATAATTCTGTGAGAACTACAACTTATTTAATAGCAATGGACAAAATTTAATGAAGTATTGTGTTTATTAAGTCAGTTCTACTATAAAAAGGGTGTACAAAAATATTGAAATATCAATGTATCGTATTGTTTATTGTGATGATACAGTATCAATATCGTGGGCTGCTGTATCGATATATCGCCAAGAGTATTTGTTGGTATATTTTACTAAATTATTTTGTTACAGCTACAGTTTTGTTGTTTGTTCCGAGGAAGGAAACTAAACACATTTGACATTTTCACTGTTTTGATGATTAAAATGTTTGTGTTTCATATGAACTTTGCACTAGAAGTGGTTTAATAAAAACTTTTAGTATCATAGCCAAGATTAAGATGTAATTTTTTATTGAACTGTATCAAATCAATTTGAAATATATTATATCGAACTGAAAGAGCACTGTATTGAGATCCATATCTTATCATAGTCTGTGTATCGAGGTATGTATCGTACCGGCTAGGGCTGGGTATCGTTAAGAAGTTGTTGATACGATACATATCTTGATACATAGGCCACAATACGATACGCTTTTCGATACAGTGCACTTTCAATTCAATACAATATATTTCAAATCGATTCGATACGGTTAAAGGCTAAATCATGGCTGTGAAAGTAAAAGTCCAGTAAGTCAACTAAATTTGTGCAAAGTTAATATGAAAAACACCCATTTTACTCAAAACAGCGAAAATATCAACACAATCGTAGCTCTTACACAAAATAATTTAGTAAAATATACCTAAAAGTACTCTCAGCAATATCTCGATACAGCAGTCCATGATATCATCAAATTAAGTGATACGATATATCGATATTTCAATATTTTTGCACACCCCTAGTACCGGCAACCTTTTTAACGATACCCAACCCTACTATAGAATCACCAATACATTTGAAAGATTTTACAGTCACTACTCACAAACAAGAAATACTAAGTAATACCAAAGTCCTCATAGATTAAAAAAAAAAAAAAAAAGTGTCTTATTCTGGGCTGGTAGAGTGTTTTTCCACTGATCTGAAGGTTGGCAGTTTGAATCCCACTCTAGACATAAAAAAAAAAAAAAAAAAACATAATTGGGAGAGCGATCAGACCAACTGACGCACAGGTTGGCGGTGCGATTGTAGCCTCCACAGATGAATGCTGTTGTTGTGTTCTTGGGCAAGACACCTCACCCCCAGTGCCTGTGTATACTGGTGTATGAGAGTGTGTGAGTGGTTCCTTGTTGTAAAAAGCTTTGAGCCTTGAAGGTAGAAATGTGTTATAGAAAGTTTTTATCATTTATTATACAGCAGTAAATACTAATTATTTCATCAGAGCATTGTAATTCATTATGGCAATATTATATATACTTTATTTAATTTATTTACATGAATATGACTTCTAACTTTAAAAAAAATTGAATAACAATGAGTCAGTAAATTCATGACTGTTAATGGTGGTGGTAAGTACACTTTACTTGTACCTGATATTACAGTAAGTAAGTAAAATGTACTTAAAAAGTGTTAGTGCAAATTGTCACAAGGATTTTTATAGTAAATCTTAGTTTTGTTTTTTTTTTTTTAGTGCATACATTTAATTGCATTACTAAAGCCTAATTAGCTAAACATAATAACAAATATATTAAAGACTATTACTTCAGAAATCCGTGCATCATCTGTACTGCAGAAAAGCTTGGCCAAAATGTAAAAATAGTGAAATTATGTGTTCAGGCAGGAAGATCATTTGACTTGACAAGTCTTAAAATAAACTTCCTCTAGTCTAGAATGAAACATCTCAGAAAACAAGATGAATAACTTGATATAAGTTTTAAAGTCTTGGCCAGATCAGAGAAATTTACAGCGTGAGGTTACGTGTTGTGTTTTAAAGAAATAGTTTTGTCAATTTTGAGTAATTATTTAGGATTGTATTTGATTATTAAACAATTTTCGGCAGCTCTACAGAATATCATTTTGCAATAGCGCTTACATGATCCAGTCTTGTCCAGAAGTGTCTGAGAAATACCAGGGAAAATTGCTCACTTTTGTGTTCACTTGGAAATGTCCTCTGGGTTTAATATGTCACAATGAATCTGGGAAATGGAGGATGGAGGAAGTGTGTCGTGAATCCTGTAAAGTGAACTCAGCTCATACTTGTCCTGGTGCGGCACGGACCTGACCAGCCAGAGGCACTCGCTTCTGACAAAACTCTACAAAGACCAGGTCTGCTTTAGGTCTGCTGGAGTCCTGGTTTAGTCCTGGGTCTAGTCCTGGTCTAGTCTTGATTTAGACCTGATTTATTCCTGGTTTAGTAAAGATTTAGTCCCAGTTTAGTCCTGGTTGAGTTCTGATCTAGGCTTGATCAGGCCTGATTTAGACCAGATTTAGTCCTAATTTAGTCCTGGTTTATTTTGTAGTTCCCGGTTTAGTCCTAGTCTGTAGTCAAGGTTTAGTCCTGGTCTAGTTCTGGTTTAATCCTGGTCTAGCTCTTGTTTAGTCCTGGTTTAATTCTTGTCTAGTCCTTGTTGGGTTCTAGTTTAGTTCTAATTTAGTCCCAGCTTAGTCCTGGTTTATAGTAAATGGTTAGTTCTGGTTTAGTTCTAGTTTAGTCCTGGTTTAGTCCTGGTCTATAGTAAATGTTTAGGTCTTGTTTAGTCCTGGTTTAGTCTTGGTTTAGTTCTAGTTTAGTCCCAGTTCATGAAATCAACAGAAACACACTTTTTGAAAAGTTTTTGAAAAATTTTAATCAAAAATCGTAATCAATCAATATGAAAGAAAAAAAAAGCAGAATTATGTTTTTCCTTTTGGCCCCGCCCATTTGTGAACGCAGCTCAGACATGTTTTTGGCTCATGTTCATGACATCAGGAAGTGCTCCAGGCTTTTAAAAAAACAAAGCATCTCATCTCATCTAATCAGGTTCCTGCGAAATGAGAGAGCACTTTGGACCATCTATCACTCCAAATACTTCTACGAGTCTGGAGTGGAGGTGTGGCCCTCAAAAGTGTAGCTTCAGGCTGCGTAGTCTAACCCGCAACCTCCTTACCAAGATGAGGAGACAGGCTAACCTCTGCCGCATAGAGAGATCAGGAGTCTCACCCACAACCTCAAGAGAACCATTTTGCTTTTGCGATATTGTAATTCTCATTGTAGAAGCAACATTTGAGAGAAGAATGAAACCTGAACTAAAACAAGAAGCATTTCAGAACATGGTAGAACTCTAAACTGCAGCGTGAACAGACCTGGGAGGGCATCTGACACACACACAGACACATATTTCTCAAAATAATTGCATCTTGTGGTAGCTGTGGCCACTTTGAACAGAACTCCTGATTCGTTTGCTCTTCATTTTCTACTTCTGTCTTGTTTGTAGAGCATCATCTTATGTTGTTTTTTTGCAGTTATTTTCATGTTGAAGCAAAAGAGGAAATCCTTTGGTATTTCTCAGAAGCCCGACCTCCTCCTCCACACACAGCCCCTTCTTCTGCTTCTTCTGCTGCTCAGCTCAACTCAGAGCAGGGCACAGGTGAGAAATAACACCCATGAACAAATAACAAGTAATCTACTGATCGAGATGAGTCGACTCGACACAAGAATCATTATTGTAGATCTGGGTGATTTCTCTTATCATATCCTGTTGTCTTCAGTTACATTTGCGTACACGTTTAGATTACATTATGCAGGGTTCCCACTCTTTTTCACAAAATGTCAAGACATTTTCATGACCTAAAGTGAAATTTTCATGACTTTACAGCACCTACATGTGTAGAATTGATCATAGTTTTAGCGCTAAATATGAAATGTGAACCCTTTCTACTCAGGTTATGGTTTGGGATTATAGTTTTTGAACATTTAAAATCTTGTCAGTGCATTTCTTGTCATCTCTTTTAAACAAAATGCACAGACGTTCAGAAATAATCAGAATAGCCTCATGAGAACTTAAAAGAACGCTGGAGTTGCGTAAAATGCCATGACTTTGTTGTGGCAAAAATATATATCTCTGTTGAAGATAAATAAGGAATCCATTTGCGAAGCCCGATGAGTTTTTGGAATATAGACCAAGGTTTATTCTTGTTACAGCAGATATGGACAGGGCCTAGTCCTGCCCTGGCCAAAGCCCAACAGCCTCTCTCCACCAGCTGTATGTTCCTACTACATCTCCCACCGTATCACCCAGTCTCTCCCCATGTATCTCCCGAGCATTTGAGCTCTCAGTACTCTCTGTATAAACAACTCTCAGTTTATACAGAAATACAAGTTACATACATTTCAAAGCAGAGTGACTTTGGTTTCAGAGGCTGATACTAAATGAACATACAGTTGAGGACAACAAAGGGCTTCCTGAAGGAGGAGACAGTTGTGCCTGGTGAACCTTTACACATGTTCATGACCGCTCTGGGTTTCAGGCAGAAATCACATTCATTTACACAAGACAGATTGAGAGAAATCTTTCCACAATCTAAATTTCTATCACAACTTTTCCAAAACTTTCATTGAATTTAGAAAATTCCATGCCTGGAAAATGATATTCTCAATTTCCAGGATTTCCATGACCTTGGGAACCCTGATTAAATGACATGTCAGTATCTTAATTGCACAATAACCCTGCTTTGCAAGTGAAAATGTCTGGAGTAAACTTGTAAAACTGTGAAATTTAGAATTAGTATGAAACATTTTTCAAAACCTCTATTATTAAAAACACAAATTGATTTAATTCATTTGAGTAATTGCTCCACCTGATCATATTTTGTGTAATCGTTACCTGAACTATACAGACTCGATCACACACAAAAAGCCTTTCTCTTTTAGGATCCTTTATTTTCCACATTTGAACCTTTTATTTGGTTGATAATGTGTTAAAAGTGCACACGATGAATCTTGAATAATGCTTCGCTGGTGGTTTGAGCTCCGCCGGTGGTTTCACTCACGCAGGGCACTTCCTCTGCAGCTCGTGGCGAAGATGAGAAGGCGAAAATACTCTGAAGATGTAGATGTAGATGAAGGTGAAGGAGGGAGGAGGTGTACACACTGCACATTTCTCTGATCTGGCCAAGACTTAAAAACTTTTATCAGGTTATTCATCTTGTTTTCAGATTTACTGTCTACTTACTAGTTCTGAGACGCTTCATTCTAGTCTAGAGGAAGTTTATTTGAAGAGACCTTGTCAAGTAAAATGATCTTGCTGCATGGACAGGTAATTTCACAACTTTTAAGTCATTTTCTGATAGATTTAATTGTTTATATCTCACGTTTTGGCCAAGCTTTTGTGCAGAGGACAGAGGAACACACAGTTATACTCGAGATTCAGAAAATGTGTTGCTGATGATACAGAGCGCAAAAGAGTGTGAAGTGTGCAAGGAAAAGGAAGTGTACAGTTCAAAAGTTGACCTGAAGTTCGAACCCTAACTTCTTCAGTTGTGGTCGTGTTTTCAGGAAGCTGTTCACCAAATCCCTCCCTGTAGAGCCAGGGCTGGGCATCACTACGAAGCTGCAGATACGAACCTTGATACAGCGCACTTTCAATTCTGTACTATTCATACGACGTATTTCACAGCGATTTGATACGGTTCAGTAAAGAGTTAAAAGAAAATGCAGTTAAAAGTCCCTTAAAGTCTTTCCCCTTGATTAAATTCACCAAACATTCTCTTTGTTCCGGCTTTAAATCCTCGATCTTGGGAATCGTTGTCAACACAGAATGTCTGGCTCTTCGCTGATTGGCTGGTCCCCGGACTCACACTTCTGGGGTTTTTGCGAACCGTCTAGTGTATTCCGATTCCTGACCTAGTCACTGGAGAGAAATGAAACTGAGTAAAGGTGGCGCCAGTCTGTCTAGATGTGTACATTTCACAATTTTCAGTTCATTTTCCAATTTTAGCCTCACCATTTTTAATTCATTTGATTACATCTTTTTGTTTCCATTCCAGTTCTGCTTTTCAGAACTGAAAGAGACGCAACTCATGAACCTGTAACCCGTTTTCATCTGATCCAAATGTAAACTCTTGGAAAAAAAAAAAAAAACTCAGATTGTTTTTCTCACATGTGCACAATCTTTCAGCAGTTTTGTTTTGTGAGATCTTACAGCACAAGATCTTGTACAAGCCCTGTTCTGTAGTGTAGAAAAAATATCGACTGCTTGTGTCCCATTGACTGTCTGACGCCAACAGCCGAAAGTGGACCACGACCACAGACAGATCATCAATACTGGACTAGAACTGATCTAGACTCTGACCTATATGACACATACTATCAAACATGCACCTTTTGCACGCTGTATTGTGTAACTTCTGTGACATAAAACAACTTTCTATATGAAAAAGTCTAAAGGATGTTTGCAAACTGTTTGAAAAATGCAGCAGTAATGGCAACGCTTCCTCCAACAGAGAAGTGTCACAGTTCTCAGTTGAGAGTCTACAGTCTGAGGTATTTTTGCAGAAGTTGTTTTTTAGTTGACTAAGTAGCACGCTGAGTGTTGAGAGGTCCTCAGTAAAGCCAGATGCCCTTCCTCCTGCATATGTCAGACAGTCATATCAAAACCAGATACCACAGCAGATCTTTTTGTCTTGGTCTTTTTCACAGAGAGGTCCACAGCTAATCCTCTGTCGAAAAAGACTGTGGTTTGCAGGAGATAAAAGTTAGTCCTCTTTCTGTTGTTAAAACTAATATTTAAAAGGCCTGTACCAGATTTTACCATATTTTTTGGACTATAAGGCACAATATCAATAATGTTAACCCTTACATACTGTTAATTTCTTTAACTTTCACAGTATGGTCCAGGTCAAATTTGACCCGGACCAAGAATTCCCTTACAGTAAGTGTCTATACCAAATAAATATACTGTCCCACATGAAAAAATATATGTACTATATAAATATAATGTTTGAGAGAGCAGGAAGAGCATATTTTTGTAAGTTTTATAACACTTGTTTTTGGAGAAAATATCAGCTATCACACAGTATCAATGTCACATCAAAATATAAAAGCCAATATGATGATGATATTTATTGCATTTGAAACTGACATGAATATTCTGGAACTGTTAGAATTTATAATATAACCAGTTTTATCCACTGCAGCCCTTCTGCTTATTTCAAACTAGTCAATGCATTCAAAGCAGTGGTATGTCAAAGTATAACATTTTAAAATATTTTCATTTTTGTGTATTTTGACAAAATTTTGGAAAAGTCATCAAATTTCAGGATCAAAGAATGATGCTTAGTGTATTTTTACTACTGCTCAATGTCAAAATGGGTCAAATTTAACCCGAATAGTATGTAAGGGTTAAATTCTGTTGATAGTTTTCATACATAAGGCGCACCAGATTATAAGTGAAACAAAACAGATAAGTCAAACTTTAATCAGCTCATTCACAATAACTGTTAACATTGTTCAGTTGTAAACACATACAATACTAAACAATACTCATACTTTTTCAGTTCATTCCTCTTCCACAAATCCATCAAATTCTTCATCTTCAGTGTCTGAGTTTAACGGTTCGGCGATTTTATCATCAAGCCCGAATCCCTCTCGTCATTCTCTGAGTCAGTTTCATCGCTGTTTCTTTGCTGTTCATTGATGATTCTGACCTTCGTGAAAGCTTGGATGACACTTGAAACTGATCGCTTAGCCCAGGAATCCACGATCCACTGGCAGATCGTGGCGTAATGCTCCGACAATCCATCAAGCGGTGCGGCTTCGTAGTTTACCAAAGTCGTACTAAAACATTTTGACTTGCGCCTTGTACCACATAAAATCGGTTTGAGGTCAGTAAGCAGAACCAGAATTAATACATAAGGCGCACTGTCGATTTTTGAGAAAATTTAAGGATTTTAAGTGCGCCTTATAGTCCAAAAAATATGGTACTTTTAAAAAATTTACGTATTTGACCAAAATGTGTCTTATGCCTGTACAGATATACCAACAGCAAAGTCTGCAGCTAATTATAAAGAGTTTAATTGTTTGATAATTAGGAAGTGCACATTAGCATGCTAGTAGCTGTTGTTGTCTCTGAAAGTTGTGATAAACTCATCGTGGTGAGTAAATAGCATGCTCAGAATGCATAGAGTAGGTGAGAAACATGACATTTTTAAGACTGTAAAGCTCAGTTCCAGCTCTTTTAATTATCGTTTTTAACTTTTAACAGTGAATATGAGGACAAAGTCTTACCCAGAAGAACCCATGACTTATTTTGACTTGACTATCGTCGGAGCAAATTGCACACGTCTTTAAAATCCAGTGGGAAAAAGTGAGTTGCGAAACCTTTCCTCAAAATAAAACTAAAACTCAAGCAAAACTTTCAAATCCTCTTGTATAATTTCGGTAAAGCAGAGTTTGCCCGTTGCCACTAAAAAGCCGTAATCACAGACCCAACCTTTAGCCCAAACCACCTCAGTGCAGAATTAGCCTGTGCTCTGAGCCGGACCGCGTTTCCCATGGTGCTTCGCTGCTCTCCGCACGGCCCATTTGTTTGGCCTGGCTCTGACCCAGCAGCAGCGGTGGTACAGGGAGAGCTGGTAGAAGCCATCAGCC